AAAGGCGTGCAGCAGAGACGGCTGGAAAAGTTTCGGATGCATCAGTTGTTCTTGCAGGATCCACCCGCAAAAACAACAAAACAAGCCTCAAGGCAAGCCTGAAGGACGGGTTTAGGGTTTTGGCATTTGTTTTTCAGGTTTGTGTGTTAACGTCTATTCCTATACAACCCCCTGCTGTACATCAATCATCATACGCTTTCTTTTCCACTATATGGGAGCGGGTCAAAACCAAAAGGTTGTAACAAGACCGATGCCCACACACGCGACATACCACGATACAAGGGGTATGTAACACGGGCGCGCCTGGCGCGACAAACCCTCCATTACCATGAGTAATGTAAGTCTTTTATAGTTGCTGATAACGCGCGACATAGGGTATGTAACACGCCCTATGTATCAGAGGCTTGTCCAAGCCTGGAGCGGGCGCTGCAGCGCCTGCTGCGGGGCGGGGCCTTGGGCGTTGCATGATCTGGCTGTCTGTTGGCCGTTTCGGTTCCATCGGAGGGTGCTTGGTCTCGCGATAGCGCCGAACTCTTTATAGACCTGCTATGGAGGGTCACCGGGACAACTCAAGATGGCAGCAGCAGCAGCAAAAGTTGCAACATCAAGATTTTGCGGGCTCATCAAGCATGGAGTGTGGCCGTGGTATTCCAGCTGCCAGGGTGAAGGACTGTTGGTTGCGCAACCAGTCGTGCTCGCAGCTGATGTGGGATGCACAGGCTGACTTTGTGCCGCCTTGCACTGCGCCAACACCGACGGCGCCGTCGCCTATGCCGTCACCGCAGATCCCAAGCTTGGAGATGATGAGGCCAGGCGTCATATGAGATACTCACATATCGTTTCTAATCCACAAGATGGCGGAAGCTACCCATGCGCAGCTACGTGGCTACGTCCCGTCGTGCATGTGCCTGCAGCATCTGCAGTGCTCACGGTGTCTATGTCGCAACAGGTTCCCAGAACAGCTTGACTTGACCTTCGAAACGGCTACATGCACCTAAGCCTAGCTGCGCCCTGTTGAAGATTGGCGAGGTCTGCCAAGGAAATACTTTCCTGGAAATTTAACCCTGCAAGTGTTTCCTGGAACAGGTGATATACACGGCGCAATCACAAGCAGAACCGATAATTTTGTTGAGACGTAGGCCGGATGCACAGAGTGCAGACGTCGTGGTGCCGTTGCCTGTGGGAGTCTCGGTGGGTGCATTCGGCAGCAAACTGGTTGAAGAGACGATTCTTGCGCAGTAGCTGTCGGTAGTTTTGACAACACGCGCCATTGGAACATGGCGCCAAAGGCTCGGTGTTTGGATGTGTTGATTCGCTGCGAGCTTACCAGGTGTCTTTGGACCAGATTTACCGTGGAGCTACGAGACGTGCCATCATCCCAACGAATTGTCTCCTGTGTGCCATCGTGTTCTCGAGTCAAGTTTCGGCAGTTGAGGTGCGTGTACAAGCTGGGCAGCTGAAAAGAGTTGCGAAGAAACTCTGGCAGGCACGTTCCTACTCTGCTTTTGAGACTGCCCGGCATGAAACATAAGCATGGCAGGATGTTTTCGATGTGAAGATTCCTTGTGGTGCTCCAGACGGTCACCGAGTAACTTTCAAGGACAAGGCCAACTGCTTCGCTTGGCTTATCGCTATAGGCTGCCATGCAGATCATCTCATGGTGTCATGAGAAATCTTTCTGTTAAGACCCTAAACCCTATTTTAGGTACACTAAATCATGAGGATGCGAGAAGGGAGACAGAGTAACGCATGTTTTCTTGTCGACTCACCTGCCTTCCGGACGCAGCGAGCGCTTCAGCAGTTTGGCTATGCCTGTTGCACAGGTCTGCGGAGGAGGGGACGTCGTCTTCGTTCTTCAGGCTTGCACACGAGCTGCCAAGAGAAGCTACGCGGAATTCAACGCCGGTCGGCTGAAGCGCTCGCCAGGAGATGGAGCAGAAGACCTGGCATCGCCAGGGATGCAACTTGCGAAGTGCTGAGAGAAAGCTCCAGGCAGCAAAAGCTTTCAAAGGCGTAACTTTACAGTTTTCAGATGTAGCCATGTTGATTGGATCGGACTCAGGTTCATCCAGCAGAGTATCAGCTTGAGAGAGGCGCCGGAGGGATTTTGCAGCTCCGGCGGAGGACGCTATGTCGGGGCCGGTGCTGATTTTGTAGCCGCTTGGCTGCGGCTGGTATCTGTCCGTGTCTGTCATAGGCGCTCTTGGGCTGCGAGCTGGTGATCGAGCATCTCGATGGGCGTAGGCCGAGTGATGCGAAAGTGGAAGCAATTCGGAGTCTCTGACGTTGGAGGCTACTTGTTCGCTCCAAGCCCGGGGCAATTCTGGCGCCCAAGTGCAATGGAGAGGTGGATGCCGGGTCCCAGTCTTGCTTCCCCCCTGTTCTGTCAAGGCTTCTTAATCAACTGTTGCTTTGTCCATCGCACTTCATCCTCTGCCGACGCTACAGCCTCGAAGCTTGGGCGACTTCTCGCGAGGCTCCCTGGAGCCGCTTCGATGACTCGGACGCCTTCCCTGGCCAGGTGGGTCCGTGGCTTCGCTCCCTCCTCCCTGTCCTCTCTCTCTCTCTCTCTCTCGGTTTCGGGTTTAGGTCGCCCTCTCTCTCGCAGCCTCTGTATGTGGCAGGATGCAGGCACAGCCAAGACGGGTGACATCGAGTCCTGCAAGGCGCTCTGTCGACCGGAAGTGCTTGGCTTTGCAGTGCTCTGCGCCGCAGGAAATCTGCCGACGGCACGGCTGGGCCGGCTTCACTTACTGGGAAGACAAAGCTTACTTCCGCGCGCAGGAGCGGCTCAATCGGCGTGTTGCTAGTGAGAGCAGTTCGACGTACTCGGAGATCCAGAAACATCCCAAGCAGGTCTAGCGCGTGCCAGTCATAATTGCACATGCCGCACTTTTTTGCCGTCCATTGCGGTTTTCACTCCGTCTTCCGGTCCATTAAGAGGGCGTGCCACCACGACGGCAACCCGACGACCATGTCGACGGCGGGGACGATGTCGACGACGACGGGAACTAATCGGCAAGGCCGATTTGTATGTTTACCATGTGCAGACTGTTTCAATTCAGTCTGGGCCACACACTGATGCCAGCAATCAAAATCGGAAGGCAGAGCAACATGCTTGCATGTTGCCAGAACCTTCCACTCAAGCAACGCCTCAAACTGGTGTCGGTGAAAGAAAGCTAATCAGCTAGTCTCTGTGCTTTCGCTACATTGCGACCGGCAGGACCGGTCGATGCTGCTGAAGCACAGGAGGGCGCACAGCTCCTAAGTGTTGCTCACCAGCGCGACGTCCGCGACGTTGTCCTAGCAGCACTCGAACAAGGTCTCGTGGATCCATCCTTTTCGTGCGCCCCCAGGCCAAGCAAATGCAGGCAGTGCGGCCGTAATGATGCTTCGTTGCTACGTGGTGTGTGTGTGTGTGTCTGTGCTCTCTATAGAGATGTAATATTTGAGAGACTAGCTGAAGCTCTTCATGCGCAGCATGCCCTGCTGGGCTACGGGATGCCGCAGCTGGGAAAGCCATGGCTCCGTGGCGCGGGCCTGAGAACATGTCGGGAGCGGCGGGCACTCCCCATTCTTCCCAGAGCATTCAGAGAGGCCACCTCTTTGTCCACCTGAAAGTCGACCTGACGGACGTTGGAGAAAAGGCACAGCAGCATGGCGCCGGGAGTAGATAGAGAGGTCCGAAGGTCAAGTGCATCTGTTGTTTTAGACTGGGAAGGCAGCACGCGCAAAGCCAAGCCTGCGACACCTTAGGCTCACACTGTCTTCGGCCGTGTTGAGATGCCTTCCGGGCATGAGTGTGTCTTTCT